CTGGAGCCAGGCTGGGAGAGCTGGGGGGGTTCCCCTGGAGAAGAGAAGGCTCCAGGGAGAGCTGAGAGCCCCTGGCAGGGCCTAAAGGGGCTCCAGGAGAGCTGGAGAGGGACTGGGGACAAGGCATGGAGGGACAGCACACAGGGAATGGCTTCCCACTGCCAGAGGGCAGGGATAGATGGGATATTGGGAAGGAATTTCTGGCTGGGAGGGTGGGGAGGCCCTGGCACAGGTTGGCCAGAGGAGCTGTGGCTGCCCCTGGATCCCTGGAAGTGTCCAAGGCCAGGTTGGAGCAACTTGGGATAGTGGGAAGTGTCCCTGCCCGTGGCTCATGGAATGAGATGGTCTTTAAGGTCCCTTCCAACCCAAACCATGCTGTGATTCCATGCACAGTTTGGGGAGGGGTGGGCGCTTCATTTCTCCATCCCTTCCGTGTAACATTCCCAGCCGAAACGTTCGTAAAAATGGAATTCTTCAGGATTCTTTGGGACACCCTCCCAGGGGAAGCCCAGCTGGCTGCACCCTCAGAGCAGCCACTGAACCATCAGCGGGGAGAGATGGGCAGAGACACCATGAACACCACCAGGAAGGAACAGGGGGAGGATCCATGGTGGGACAAGGAGATTCCATGGTGGGACAGGGTGGGTTCTGTGGTGAGATAGGGGGTTCCATGGTGGAACAGGATGGTTCCATGATGGGAAAAGGGGATTCCATGGTGTGACAGGGGAGGTTCCATGGTGGGACAGGAGGGGTTCCTGGGGTGGCCGGGGCATTCCATGGCGGGACGGACACGACTCTTTGCTTTCAAACAACGAAGAAACAAACTCACAGCTGACACTCATCTCCTTTGATCCCCTTGGTGGTGCAGAAACACTTGCCAGTGTTGGTGTTGCAGACGGACGCGTGGCCGTTGCACTTGCAGGCTGTGGAGCAGAGGGGCGGGGGGGGAGGAGAAAACACAACACTCAGTGAGGCAAAGAGAAACAAACCCGACAGCAATTAAGCCCTTCAGTTGCCAAACTGAGCTGCACCAACAATTAACGTGCAGATGAAAACCCATTTGGTGCCCTTTTGCTTTCCTTTCGTGCAGCCAGAAATAGAACCGTGCGTCAAAACGGAGCGAGCGCGGCCCCGCCGCTGATGTTTGTGGGAAATCATCGCCAGACTGAGCTTTTCAGCCTCAAAAACTTATTGAACTTCCTCCCCCCGTTGACAGACAGCAGTGGGGGTGTCGTGGCTGGCAAGGGAAGCAACGTTTGGAACAGTTTGGGGCTTGCTGAGACATCTCGGCCGAGCTCGGAGCTCCTGAGAGAGGAGTTTGGAAATTGAAATAAAGCCTTTTCCAGGAATAAATAAATAGGAGAAAATAATGTGTCAATAGTCCTATGGAGAAGGGGATGTCATTATCAACAGTGCCAGCAGAAAACATCTGGTGCCAAGAAGATGATGGCCGTGTTGGAATTTGGGGCACATCCCCCCCAGTGTATTTTAGGAGAACTTTGAGGTGGATGCCACTGGGTTGTGGTTGAAGTAACTCAGCACAGAAGTCCTGGACTTCCCTCAGGTTTGGGGCCTGCCCAAAATAGCCCAGCTTAGAGTTAGACCCGAGTTTGCTCGAGATCCAACCCAGGGTGTCCCCACACGGGAGATTTGCTTCCCAAAAACGCTCCTGGGTCAGACTAAATGCTCATGTTGGCACACTCTGAGACCTTTACTCATAAAGGTGGAGAGGAGGAACGTGCAGAAAAACCCAATCCAAACCCAAATCAACAAATAAGAGCAAAAAAACAACACAAGCAGTTGCCTGGGATATCACTGGAGAAGAGTGGACAGAACAACTTTTTCAGCCTTTAAGGAGTTGTTCTCCCAGGGAAGGTGCATCCACCTGCAGCTGTGCATGGCAGAGGGTACAAAAACAGGACAGAGAAAAGTGCACAAAGAGAAAATCCCTTGTTTGTGACCCCTGGGCCTGCTGGGAACAGGATGCTTGAAAGTGCAGAGCCTCCTTGTTAAGAGACATTTTCCCTCTCATTAATGTGCCACTCAAGGTACCAGCAGATTCTTCGACATAAAGGCCCCATCCTGAATATTCCTGCCAGCCTTGGACCTTATTTTCAGGGCTCCTTTTGATGTGCCCTTTCCTTCTGTTGCCACATAATGGAAGAATATTGTATCAGGGACACTTAATTGTGCCTCTCAGAGGTGGGTGAGTGGTTTCCTAGCAGCAACACGGAGCAAAATAGGAAGAAGCATAAAGGCTTATTGTGGGGAACAAGGAGCCTGAATGAAAATTCGACAAAATAATTGTCTTCTGTGAAGGGAAACACACTTTTCATTAGT